TTCTTCCTAACCATGAGCATGGAGTGTTTTTCCATCTGTTTATGTCCTCTTATTTCCTTGAACAATGGTTTGTAGTTCTCCTTCAAGAGGTCCTTCACGTTCCTTGTTAGTTGTATTCCTAGTTGTATTTTATTCTCTTTGTAGCAATTGTGAATGGGAGTTCACTCATGATTTGGCTCTCTGTTTGTCTGTTATTGGTGTATAGGAATACTTTTATTTTTGCACATTGATTTTGTATCCTGAGACTTTGCTGAAGTTGCTTATCACCTTAAGGAGATTTTGTGCTGAGAGGTTGGAGCCTTCTAAGTATAAAATCATGTCTGCAAATAGAGACAATTTGACTTCCTCCTTTCCTAATTGAATATACTTTATTTCTTTTTCTTGCCTGACTGCTCTGACCAGAACTTCCAATACTATGTTAAATAGGAGTGGAGAGAGAGGGCACCCTTGTCTTGTGCCAGTTTTCATTTTTTTTTTTTTTTTTTTTTTATAAATTGAGTTTCGCTTTTTTTTCCCGGGCGTGGAGGGGTGCGATCTCGGCTTACCGCCACCTCCGCCTCCTGGGTTCAGGCAATTCTCCTGCCTCAGCCTCCTGAGTAGCTGGGATTACAGGCATGTGCCACCATGCCCAGCTAATTTTTTTTTTTTTGTATTTTTAGTAGAGACGGGGTTTCACCGTGTTGACCAGGATGGTCTTGATCTCTTGACCTCATGATCCACCCACCTCGGCCTCCCAAAGTGCTGGGATTACAGGCTTGAGCCACCGCGCCCGGCTTGTGCCAGTTTTCAAAAGAAATGCTACCTGTTTTTGCCCATTAGGTATGATATAGGCTGTGGGTTTGACATTAATAGCTTTTATTATTTTAGAAATACATTCCGTCAATACCTAGTTTATTGAGAGTTTTTAGCATAAAGGGTTGTTGAATTGTGTTGAAGGCCTTCTCTGCATCTATTGAGATAATCACGTGTTTTTTGTCATTGGTTCTGTTTATGTGATGGATTATGTTTATAGATTTGCCTATGTTAAACCAGGCTTGCATTCCAAGGAAGATGCCAACTTGATCGTGATGGATAAGCTTTTTGATGTGCTGTTGGGTTCGGTTTGCCAGTATTTTATTGACAATTTTTGTGTCAATGGTCATCATGGATCCTGGCCTGAAATTTTCTTTTTTATTTGTTTCTCTTCTGGGTTTTGGTATCAGGATGATGTTGGCCTTATAAAATAAGTTTGAGAGGATTCCCTATTTTTGAATTGTATGAAATAGTTTCAGAAGGAATGGTACCAGCTCCTCTCTGTACCTCTGGTAGAATTTGACTGTGAACCCATCTGGTCCAGAACTTTTTTTGTTTGGTAGGACATTAATTGCTGCCCCAACTTCAGTCCTTTTATTGGTCTATTCAGGGATTCAACTGCTACCTGGTTTAGTCTTGGGAGGGTGTAAGTGTCCAAGAGTTTATCCATTTCTTGTAGATTTACTGGTTTATGGGCATAGAGGTATTTATAGTAATCTCTGATGGCAGTTTGTATTTCTATGGAATTGGAGGTGATATCCTCTTTATTTTTTATTGCATCCATTCAATTCTTCTTTCTTTTCTTTCTTATTAGTCTGGCTAGTGGTCTATCTATTTTGTTAATATTTTCAAAAACCAGCCCCTGGATTTATTGATTTTTTTGAAGGGCGTTTTTTTGTGTCTCTATCTCCTCTAGTTCTTCTCTGATCTTAGTTTTTTCTTGTCTTTGGCTAGCTTTTGAATTTGTTTGATCTTGTTTTTCTAGTTCTTTTAATTGTAACATTAGAATGTCGATTTTAGATCTTTCTTTACTTCTCATGTGGGCATTTAGTGTTATAAATTTCCTTCTAGACACAGCTTTAAATGTATCCCAGAGATTCTGCTATGTTGTTTCTTCAAATAAGGTCACATTCGCAGGCAGGATAAGACTTCAGCATGTTTTGTGGGGGACACAAGCCATACTAGGGATCTATGCAAATGTGCAGCTAACATAGAATTTAGTGGTGAGAGACAATCCCTTTCCTTTGCAGGAAAAATGCAAGGATGTCCATTCATACTATTTAGCATGGTATGGCTACTTTAGTATACAAAAAGGCAAGAAAAATATATAACAAGCATCTAGATGGAAAAGGAGGAAGCAAAACTGCCCTTATTCTAAGATAACATAATAAAGTATGTTGACAATTCAACAAAATCTACAAAAATGCTACAAGACATAACAAGTATGTGGCCGGGCGCGGTGGCTCAAGCCTGTAATCCCAGCACTGTGGGAGGCCGAGGCGGGTGGATCACGAGTTCAAGAGATCGAGACCATCCTGGTCAACATGGTGAAACCCTGTCTCTACTAAAAATACAAAAAATTCGCTGGGCATGGTGGCGCGTGCCTGTAATCCCAGCTACTCAGGAGGCTGGGGCAGGAGAATTGCCTGAACCCAGGAGGCGAAGGTTGCGGTGAGCCGAGATCGCGCCATTGCACTCCAGCCTGGGTAACAAGAGCGAAACTCCGTCTCAAAAAAAAAAAAAAAAAAAAAAAAAAAAAAAAGAAATAACAAGTAATCCCAGCTCTTTAGGAGGTTGAGGAGGATGGATGATCTGCGGTTGGGAGTTTGAGACCAGCCTGAACAACATGGAGACACACCATTTCTACTAAAAATAGAAAATTAGCCAGGTGTGGTGGCATATATCTGTAATTTCAGCTACCTGGGGAGCTGAGGCAAGAGAATTACTTGAACCCAGAAGGTGGAGATTGCAGTGAGCTGAGATCATGCCATTGTGCTTCAGCCTGGGCAACAAGACCAAAACTCTCAAAAAATAAAATAAAATAAAACTACGCTGCCTTCATTGATTAGCAAATAGAATGAGGGACAAATGATAATGATCCTCAAATTAGATCAATAGATTCAATGCGATCTCAACCATAATCCTTGCAGTATTTCCAAGCAGAATTTCCAGACAAGCAAATTAAAAAAAAATGTACCAAAATGCAGATGATCTAGAATGATCATTTTTTTTAAAGTAAAATAGTCATATACTACTTAAGTCTGATTTCATAGTTATTTCTTCTTTCTAACCTTAGTATCTCTCTTCTTTTATTTTTGTGGTTCTATTATCAGTGTACTGAATGCCATAAAATTTAAAGAGAAAAATTGAAATGAAAATTTAACTGTCATTCAAATAAACATAAAATGCAAATTCTGCACTCACAAAGTCTAGTTTTTCAACTTTTCTGATTTACCACTTCTTCTCATTCTATGCTTAATGTCTGGTACCTTTCCTGCCTTCTTGCCAACTTCTCCCGTCTACGGTATTTTTGACTTCAGTTCACACTTACCAGAACAAATTCTTTAAAATTTATTAACCTGTTTACTTGACTGGTAAATTAAGGCCATTTCATTTCCTCTATTTTATATCCTTATCCATTGAAATAAATCTACAGACAAAAGATGGAGCCAGGAGAGATGACACATGCCTGTAGTCCCAGCTACTCCAGAGGGTGAGACACAAAAATTGCTTGAGCCGGGAGGTAGATGCCAGCCTGTGCAGCATAATGAGACCCCATTTCTTTAGGGGAAAAACTTTGAGAAGTAAATGTTGTCCTTAAATTGTGTAAAATCAGCTTTGAATGGAACTAATAGAGATGAAAGTAAATTCCAAGATAAAGGTCTAATTTATGGGTAAAATATAAGATGCATTCTGAAGTTTTTAAAGATTTGAAGAACAGAATGTGGGATTAACTACCACTTCCATGTCAGTCTGAATACTTAAAATCTTAGTTCTGTTCGGTAATTATCTTACATAGTTATTTAAGATTTCCAAGTCATTCCTTTATTAGCATAAAGGAAAATATATACACAGGCCTTATTTGTATTTGAAAGGGTAAAATGAGATACACATCACAATGCATTGTACATCTTAAAGAATGATGTAAAGAAGCTATTTGTGGCTCTCATCCAACACTACCCATCCTCCAACTGATGTGTAAAATCACTCAGAGTCTTACTTTATACCACCAGGCAAGGAGAAGTTTATACAAATACTTGCATGCTTTATGTATAAAGGTACAATTAATTCCCTTTTTTTTTTTTTTATTTCTTTTTTTTGAGAAGGAGTCTCAGTCTGTTGCTCAGGCTGGAATGTGGTGGCCTGATATCCGTTTACTGCAGCCTCTGCCTCCTGGGTTCAAGCAACTCTCCTGCCTCAGCCTGCTGTGTATCTGGGACTACAGGTGCAAACCACTGCTTTGGCTAATTGTTGTTTTTTTAGTAGAGATGGTGTTTTGCCACATTGGTGAGGCTGGTCTTGAACTCCTGACCTCAAGTGATCCACCCGCCTGTGCCTCTAAAAGTGCTGGGATTACAGGCATGAGCATGGCCTTTTCACAGTTTTTATTTTATAAATCAAGTTTTAATGTTTTAAATTTTTGTGAGCACATTGTGAGTACATATTGATGGGGTATATGAGATATTTTGGTACAGGTATATAATGCGTAATAGTCACATCAGGGAAAATTTTGCCTTCATCCTCTTAAGCATTTATCCTTTGTGTTACAAACAATCCAATTATACTCTTTTGGTTATTGTAAAATATTCAATTAAATTATTATTGACTATAGTCCCCCTATTGTGCTACAAAATGCTAGGTCTCATTCATTCTTTATGACTATTTTCTTTGCATCTATTACCTTTTCGTGCCTTTCCCTGCCTATCCTTCCCAGTCTCTGGTAACTAACCTTCTATTCTTTATCTCCATGAGTTCAACTGTTTTGATTCTTAGATTCCACAAATGAGTGAGAACATGCAATGTTTGCCTTTCCGTACCTAGCTTATTTCACTTAACATAATAACTTTCTGTTTTATCCATGTTGTTGCAAACAACAGGGCCTAATTCTTTTTTTATGGCTGAATAGTATTCCATTATGTGTATATATGTCACATTTTCCTTGTCCATTCATTTGTTGATGAACACTTGGGTTGCTTCCAAATCTTGGCTATCATGAACAGTGCTGTAAAAAACATGAGAGTGCAGATATCTCTTTGATATACTGATTTCCTTTCTTTTGGGAATATAACCAGCAGTGGGATTGTTAGATTGTGTAATAACTCTAATTTTAGTTTTTTCAGTAGCTTCTAAACTGTTCCCATAGTGGTTGTACTAGGTTCCTACCAACAATGTACAAATGGTCCTTTCCTCCACAACCTTATCAGAAATTGTTATTGTCTGACTTTTGGATAAAAACCATTTTAACTGGGGTGCTATGATATTTTATTGTAGTTTTGATTTGGATTTCTCTAATGATCAATTATGCTGAGCAATTTTTATATGCCTTTTTGTTTTTTTTCTTTTTTTCATGTGTCTTTTATACATCTTGGAGTTTTCCAACAGTTTTAATCATTTTCTATCATTAAAAATTTTTATATATGTTAATTTTAGATTATTTTTGTTTCTCTGTCTTCATGTTTATTACATTTTTTGTCTGTGATGTCTAATCTGCAATTAAGCCCATTCAGTGTATTTTCATTTCAGTAACTGTAGTTGTCATCTTTAGAGGTTCTATTTTAGTCTCTTTTCTTACTCCCTTGTCTCTACTTAATTTGTTCAATATTTCTAATAGTTTTTGAACATATGGATTATGTTTTAATAACTATTTCAATGTCTTTTCCTGATAATTCTAACAGCTGTGTCATTTCTGGGTTATTTTGATTAATTGAATCTTTCTCCTTATTATGGTTTATTCTTCTCTGCTTCTTTGCTAACTGGTTAATTTTGATTCAATGCCATGTATTTTGAATTTTATCTTTTTGTGGTTGAACATTTCTATATTCCTGCAAATATATTTAAATGTTTTTCTAAGATGCAGCTAAATTACTTGACAACAGTTTGATCACTTAGATCTTGATCTTAAAATCTGTTAGACAGGACAAGAACAGCCTTTAGGCCAAAGCTGATTTTGTGCTAATAATGAATCAAGACATTTTATCCAAAGACTTATGAATTATGATATTTTTAGTCAGACTGGCCCTGTGGTAACATCAGCTCCTGTGGTAGAGAGTAGTGGAACTCTCTTCTGTGGTACAGAGTAGTCAAAATCTCTACTCCTTTTTGGATGGTTCTTTTCCTGATCGTGGGTAGTTTATTCAGTGCTTGTGTTGACTAGTATTTTGCTGAATACCTAAGGGGGACTCTCTAAAGACCTTTGAAGTCTTCTTTCTATTAAATTCTTCTCTCTGTGGTTCTTCACCTTGGTTCTCCTGGACTCTCAACTCGAGGTCCATTGGTTTTGCATGTACTCCCTTTCTATTCCATACCTTGGAAACTCTTGTAAGACAATAAGCTGTGACAATCATAGGGCCTTTTTTATATCTGTGTTTTTAGGCACCCCTGTTCCTTGGTGACTGATGTCCAATAACTTGCAAACCATTCATTAATATGTTTCATTTATTTTTGTATGTTTCAGGCAAAAGGGTAAATCATATCCTTATACCTCTGTTACAGCATTTGTCCTTGATGTAGAAAAAATCCTTTACCCTTTGGAAGCAATAATATTCTTTCAGGGACTTATAAGTACTTTTTAAAGTTCTGAGTTTTTTTTTTTAATTGGCACATTTTTGGGTGGAGAATTAGATCTGGTAACTTAGTGGCTGACAAAATATAAAAAAGGTACTTTGGGGTAAAAGTTAAGAATCCATATTTAGATGATTGAAAATGAGCTATGCCAACAAAGAGTGACTCTGAAGCTTTAAAATCACTTCTCATAGAACTTACCTTTATCTGGCTGGGCATGGTAGCCTACAGTGAAATACCAGCACTTTGAGAGGCCAAAGTGGGTGGATCACCTGAGGTCAGGAATTTGAGACCAGCCTGACCAACATAGTGAAACCCCATCTCTACTAAAAATACAAAATTAGCCAGACATAGTGGTACATGCCTGTAATCCTAGCTACTTGGGAAGCTGAAACACCTGGGCGCAGTGGCTCCTGTTTGTAATCCCAGCACTTTGGGAGGCCAAGGCGGGTGGATCACAAGGTCAGGAGTTCGAGCTCAGCCAATATGGGAAGCTGAAGCAAAATAATCTCTTGAATGCGGGAGGCAGAGGTTGCAGTGAATCAAGATCGTGCCACTGCACTCCAGAACAAAACTCTGTCCAAAAAAAAAAAAAAAAAAAGAACTTACTGTGATATGAGACCAAACTCCAGAGGACTAAAAGGTTTAAAGCTAAGACTTTTTTTTTGTCATTGCCATTGTTTGCTCAACCTGAACCTTAAAGGCCTCAAAAGGCCTCAGAGAAAACACGTCTTTCTCTCTCTCTCTCTTTCTCTCTCTCTCTCTCTCTCATGCACACCCACACATTAGTTAGGAACATGATTTGGACCAAAATCTTCAGCTGAAAAAGTGCTAGTGCCATGTCAGTTGACATATGTGTTTGTTTAAAAGAAATCACTGATTTGTTTACATGTTGCCTTTGTCTTTCATCAACAAAAGAAGAACTCTGGGAATGTACACACATTAAATATTTAATAGGACGTAACTGTTTACATCTTAAAGAGAACATATGAATCTGCCTTTCCTGTTCTTAGTAATGGGAAGTGAGGGATTTAAATATACTTATACCTTCCAGCATATAAACCCTTGCTACTACTATTTTTTCTGGACCATCATCGCTACCCTTGCTGTACAGATAACTTTTATTCACGTCAGCCACTGAGAGAAACTTAGATCTCCTGGTCATAACTCATTCGTTTTTTTCAATACTGCATCAAAATTACCACTTGTTTATTAGACCTCATTGCTTTTCCTTTATTTGAGGACTTTCCTTTAGCAAATATCCTCACTAATTAATCACCAACGTTCATTTTACTAAATCTTTCTTATCAGCCATCAAACTTGACCACATTTACCCCTTCAGATACTTCCCAGTTACCTCCTCCCCATTATATCAGACCTCTCCTACAAAGCTGTCTCTAGTACTTTTTCACACATTTTACTTGGTTCCCACTTTTTCATTAAATGCAGTCTTTTCAGTTACCAGTGATCTTTACATTGCTAAATTCAATCATCAATCCTCACATCAAATCACATGTGTCTTTTAGTATGATTTCTCAAAACTGCCATTTCTTCTTGTTGAACCACATTGTTGACTGGCTTATAGAAGCATGGACTTTCTCAGTTTTCCTGCCATCTCACCCGTCTATCAGTCACCTTTGTGAAGTGTTCCTCATCTTCCTGGAGGGATTGACAAAGGAATTAATTCAGTCACGATCCTCACTCTTCTCTTTTTTTCTCTCTATATTCAAATCCTTGGGGATCTTAATTTAATTTCAGGTTGAAATTTTTGTTTTCACCTTCCCCAGATGGCTTATCCCCTTGTTTTTACCCTTGTTTTATTTCCTGGTATTCTCTTCCTTGCCCTCTCTGTTTCTCTCTACGAGCTTCCTTGCTTGGGCTGGAGGTTTGGTAGGCGTGACCCTAACTTTGGAACTTGACATTTGTGATTTGTTCTGCCTAGAATGTCTTTCCCACAGAGGTCTTAGTGGTTTTGTCCCTCACCTCCTTCAAACACTTGTTCAAATATAACTTTTCCAGTGTAATGTGTTCAGACTCATTTATTGAAAATTGCCCCCCTCACAGACCTTGACATTTAACAGTATACCTGTCCTGGTTTATTTTTTTCCTAACACTTAAAACCTAACTCATGATACATTTTACTTACTTTTTAAAATTTCTATGTCCACCCAATAGAATGCAAATGCTGCAAGACAAGGGATTCTTTTCTTTTTCTTTTGTTCACTGATTCATCTCCAATGCTTAGAAAAATACGTGGTAAGTCATAGGTATAAAGACTTGTTGGGTAAAACAATTAAAAATGGAACATTTCTGTCAACAAGATGGGTTTCAACCCATCTTGCTTCTGCCAGCTAATGAGTGGAACACTTCTGTCAACAAGAAGGGTTTCAACAAGAAGAAATGGTGATTTTGAGAAATCCTACTGCAAGGACCATGTAGCTTGAAAATGAAGATTGACCATTGAATTTGACAATGTGAAGGTAACTGTTAACTTTAAAAATGTGCATTTAGTGAAAAGGTGAGAACCAAATAAAATGTGTGAGGTGGAATCCAAGGCAGCTGAAAAGTCTTAATTTTCCTGTAGCATTCAGTATTGTTGTCACTTTTTCCAGCAAGACTTACCTAACTTTGCATGACTGGGTTTCATTGTGAGGTGCTTTTCTTGTAATAAGTATTATGCTACATTCATTTTTACTGCTTTTCTAATTGCCTTTTCTTTCTGTGAACCTGAATTATAGGCTAAGAGAGAGTAGGAACGTAGTCTTATTTGTTGATCATGTTATAGTAAGTATTTGGAAGAGTTCCTGTGAAAATTAGATATTGCACTCAACAGATTTTAATATATGCCTTGCAATTGGCTGGAAAGATGTACAAAAAGTACTTTCAAAAATGATTGAAATATTTTAATTTATATAACTTCTTGAGAAATCCTCCTTGTGTAAACACTGCTACTTGAAAAGAAGAGATTTGTTATGTCAATTATATTCCCAGACCTTTCAAGAAGTGTTAGGGAAGCCAGATCTCATGCCTTACAGCACAGTGGGAAGAACCACTGACTCCATTGGTGTGGAGGTGGAGGGTTGAATGTGTGCAACAGAGCTGCTGTGTAACATGTGCTGAAACCTTGCCTTTACAGCAAAGGAGACTGAGCCACCTGTCCATGTGAAAGACAAGGACATAATGCTGGCGGTGAATAGATCATACATCTAATTTTAATAGTCACTTTGGAAATGTGATTAGTTTCAATCTTAACATTAAAATTATGGCTTACAGCTGTTACTGAATCCAAGTTATCATACAAAACAATGCAAACCAAAAGTGCCTTAATTTTTTAAAAGAAATCACTATGAAAAAATTAAATTTCAAAATGCCCATTTTGGGATTCTTAAGTTTGTTTGCCTCAGTAGAGAGTAAGATCATATTAAAAACATAAATTGTGTTATAATTTATATAACTATTAAACACATTCAAAATAAAAATAGGAAAATAGAGAAAATGTAAGTGAAAAAAGCTAAATTAAT